AAAAAATGAGTTTCCAGAACTGAGGCTTGAAACGTAGGTTGAAACGAGTTTTTCTGGAAAAAACACAAAGAAGAAACCCCCCCTAAAATTGAGTTTTCTACCCGACATTGCGAACAGAAATTAAAAAACTCACTGTGAAATCTCCAAAATGCCCCTAGATCAGAACATGACAAGAGGGTAAAAGTTGCTATAGTGACTGTCCTGATCTGAGAGCTGAAACGGGCTAGAAGATGAATTTTTCTGGAAAAATACAAAAAAGAAATCCCTCCCGAAATCAAATTTTCTACCCAATAACGTGGAAAAAAAAAAAAAAAAAAAACTCACTGTAAAATGCCCAAAATGCCCTTCTATGAAATCTGGTCGTGAGGTTCATAAAGCTGCTAAATGTAAAACTGAAAGCTGAACTTTACAATGGATTTCTGGTACCAACACGACATTTTATAGAAACACACAAAGAAGAAAACCCCCCTAAAATCACGTTTTCTAAGTAATCATATGAAGACCGGAATTTATTTCCCGAAAGAAAACCCCAGAATGCCCTAAAATCATATTATGCAAGAAAATTGTAAAATGAGTCCATAGGAGGCTCAAATCACAAAGGAAAGGGTTTTTCTTGAAAATGATCATGCACGCAAACGTAACTTACCTATTTGGACGTGCTACAATGGTCCACTGCTTAAAAATACTGCCGATGCAAAATCCAACTCCCCGACGGTCAAAAAGGCAAAAATAAACAAGAAATGGAAAATTTGAAAACCAAAATTAACAAATGATTTCAAATTACCGTTTGGCCCTTGACCACACTTCAAACATGATTAATAAGACCTTATAAAAGAATAAAAATGGAATTCCCACACCCGATGCAACCATGGTGAGACAATGACTTGTGATTTTTCAATATTTTCATAATATTTCATGAAGCCAAGAATTTCATAAAATGCATTATAAATGTCATTGGCCTCTGGCCTCATCTCATACATGTCAATTACATTAAAAAGAGTGTACTTATATATACTTTACATATATGGAATCAAAGAATACAAGTTTTGACATATAAGCTACTAATAGCATTTCATGCTAACATTTTCATGAAAATGACTTCAAGTCTACGAAACTTCCATGGCATAGTGTGCATCCCAAATCAAGGTCCTTATACCTGAAAAATGTCCCCACTAGGTGGGTGAGTAACATAAAGCTACTCGTAAGAAATGAGCATGCATCGACCTAGCATTTTACAATTATATCACCTTATGGTGAAACATGTTAAAAGGGCTCATGCCACCTAACGTCTATGTCAAAATGAGACTCAGGGATCATCCTAAGCTACTTATGCAATTGAATTGAATAACGATATACAAGTATACATGCTCAAGTATACTAAACCGTATTAAAACATGATACACGACATACAAGCATACATGTTCAAGTACCCTAAATCATGTTAAACAAGAAAAGCAATATCTAACATACATGCACAAGTATTCGATATATATATAGAGAACTCATAAATCAAGTATACAAACAAACAAAATACACATACGACAAGTATACACGGCACAAGTATACTAAATGAAATTTAAACTTATGGAGCAAGTATACAAGTTCAAGTATACTAAATAGGATTCAAATACCCAAAGTAAGCATCAATTCTCAAGCGACAAGTAATCCATGATTAACAACTTGAAATTAAATGCGAAATCAAATAGTGGAAAGACTAGGACATGCAGTCGCTAGATTAAGCAAGTATTTTCGGGTAATTACGACTCACAAGGTACCACCTAGTGCGCACTTATGACTTAGAGGACACTTGTCCACGTACTAGAGCCAAACCCTACCCATCACATAAATTATGTCCTCACAAGCTTTCCAAAGTCAATAAGTTCAAAACTTATACAAAATCAAATGCAAGTTACCACATTCCATGCACAAGTAAGGTTGAATGCATACAAACCATGTCCTAGAATTCAAGTCTATATAGCATATGACATGTCATGTCTTCAATATACAATTTAAACCCAAAGTAAGAATATTTTACAACAATTGAATCAAATTACCATCCTAAGCCACAAGTACTAAATAAGCTACAATTTAGAAACTAACTTTTAAGGTAAACAATTGTAACATTCTAACAAGTTATATACCTACACAAGATATATTTAAACAAGTCATGCAAGACAATAATATCCTATATCATGCTATATCAAATTCCTTGATTTAAACATAAGAACAATTTTAAAGACATAGTTAAATCCATGGAACAAGTAGATAGAATTTAATTAACTAAAATAATTAAATTATCTAGATTTCAAACCAATCCCAAATTATCTCAAATTAATATATGTTAAGGGATATAACATAGTCTTCACATATATCACATCAAATATCGAATCAAGGAATTAAAACACTTAAAATAAAATTAATTAAACTCATTAATTAATTTTCTCTAGATTCTCAAATAACTCCAAATGCCCTCAATTTTACATAGGTTGAAGAACATACGAAGGCCTATTTTAATATCACATTACAAGTTGATTTCATACTTGTTACAACTACGTGAATTAATCTTTCACAACAGATAAATATTAAATAAAATTTGCATTTCTCATTCAAATGCTCCCAATTTAATATATGTTGGTATACATACCAAAGCCTAATTTACTAGCATGCCACAATTTAATTCTAAGGTACACACCTTCACGAGAATTAAATCTTAAACATAGAAAATAATTAAATTAAATTCTAAAACTTGAATAAATGCATGCTTACAAGTTGTATATGCTTATATAAAAATCAATACAATATTAATATAAACCTAAGACATCCCTTACCTCAATTTGAGATGAAAATCTCAAAAGCCACCAAAATGAAACGGTTCCAAATCCGACGATACTTCGGGGTTTTGTCGGGGACAACATGGTGAACATTAAACTCCAAAGAGAACCTACCAAAATCCTAAATTGACCTCAAACCTGAACTCAAAATTTGGCCAAAAATGGGTTCTAATAAGGGGGAAAGATGTGCGTTGTCAAGATAAACACAAAACGCAAGGGTCCTATGACTTTATAACAAAGGGAAGGAGGTTTAATTGAGAGAATAAGGGTGGCAGCCCAATGCTGCTGGTCATGCATGAGGAGAGGAGATGGTCACTTTTTAATTTTATAATCCCCTAGTTATAGGGAAACCCTAAAAGTGCCCCGAAAGGGCCCCGCCGGGTCCAGAAAAGTGGAATTTAAGCGGACTTGCTGAAATGACAAAACTATGTGAATGAAAAAGAATCGAAATGAGAAAATACGACTAAAGAAAACGACCAGAAGGCAATTCTAAGAATACACGACTCAACGAAATGTGAAAATGAATCCCGTACGAGGATCCAGGCTCAAAATAAGGCATTTTTGCAATAACTTTTATTATAGGGATGTCAATTTTTACCGCCCCGCCGGGGCCCCGCCCCGTCCCGCCCCGTTAATAATGGATATGGTAACACTTGTTATACCGTTGGGGCGGACATGGATACAAATTTTGTACCCGTCGAGGGTCACGGGGCGGGTAAGGGTTCAATATACATATCCTAGGGGCCCCGCCCCCCATATAACTATATTTAATATATATATATATATATATATATATATATATATATATATATATATATAAAAGTTATTTTAGCGGCTTACCCAATTACCCATCTCTTATAATCCTAATTTGGGATGTAAACTTGGTATTAAATTTGCTTTTGTTTTGGTTATGGTGGAAGTTGGAGCTTAGAACTTCTTGTGATTTGGTTGTATTAAACTTTTATTTTTGTTTATTATGTTCTCTGAATTATGTTATGGGCATGTTATTTTTTTTTTTTTTATTAGGATACATAATTTTATTTATGTTGTGTCATTCTTAGGCTTTGCATATTTAAATAGCAGGAGTTTAAGTTCCAAAAAGTGGGAGAAAAAAATTTGTTAGTGGGGCAGGTACGGGGGCACAGTATTTCCTAACGGGGCGGGGTTGGATATGAAAATCCAACCCGTAGCGGGTCTCGGGGCGGGCATGGACTTGACAAAAATTAAAAGGGGCGGGGCGGGATTTAGAGAAACCCGCTCCAAACCCGCCCCATTGCCATCCCTATTTTATTAATTGCATAATGGCCCCTCCAAAAAGTGAAAATTGCACTAATGACCCAGAATAAAAATATCTTTCAAAAATTTTTTCTTAAAAACCCCTAAATAAAATATCTTCAAAAGATATTTACGAAAAACACACCAAGAAAAGAAAAAAAAATTCTGAAAAATTATGCATTCATGCCCCTATGGACACCGGGAGCAACCAGAGTACTTTACTGCAAAAGTAAAGATACGTATTTCGTGGAAACCACTTAAAATGACGATATGTGAAGTCAAAAACCAACTCCAAACACAAGGAGTGAGGTTATGCCAACAAAGTGACAAATAGGGAAAAGACAAAATAGGGAAAATGACAAAACAGAGAAAATGACCAAAAGTGAATAGTGTCGAAAAACGAAAAATATGAAAATGACTCGATCCTCAAAGGAAGTTGTCAATCCAAAGGAAAGAGTCTCAGAGACCATTTCCGAACACTCGAGATGACACTAAGCGAAGAGAAACTGAACTCAAAAAAGAAATTTTAACGAAAAAAATTCATTAGTAAAATTATGAGGAAAAGAAAAAAAGAATGAAATGGCTTGGTCATTACATTTATTGCATTGGCATGATTGAATTTTTAAATTTGCCCCATGTTTTTATTTGGTGGAGTGGAGTCTAATTGGTGGAGTGGAGTCTATAGCCATAGCTATGTTTATTCTTTTGATGTAAGGAGGGTAAATATGGAATACTCTAAAATATAGTAGATCAATTTGTGAAATGAAATAACTATTATGAGAAGACAAAATAAAAAGATGAAATAGGAAGGAGTATTATTTATCCAAACAAAGCATAAGTTTGAAGTCCCAATATCCCTTGCAAATAAGCGGGTGAAAACCTAGGATTAGAGTTGAAGTCTAATTTAAGTGCATATGGTACCATTAATAACAATATTTATTTTCTATTTTATAATCAATAATCATCAAACATAAGTCAAACATCACTTGGAAATCGGAGGGTTCGCACATTTCTTGGTGCAGTACCTCAACACAGAAAAATAAAGCTCGTGCATTAAATTCACAACGTGTCCGTTGGGCCACAACTCCATCGACAAATCGTAACAAAAGAAAGCTCCCACAGTCATGAGTCAACCGAAGCACCAATCCCCCAAACCTCAATCACTTCACACCACCACCACCACCACCAAACCAGAGCCTCTCATCATCATCATCATCATCATCATCATCATCACCATCACCATCAGACAATCATGATGATCATGATTATGATAAGTCCTGCTCAGTCACCGGAGGAGCAACTTAATAAGGCCACGTCATCACCACCACCATCCAACCTTCCCGTTGATTTCAGCCCTCCGTTGATCGCCATGGTTGTCATCATCGCCACCGCTTTCATCATCGTCACCTACTCTCGCCTCATCTCCCGCCACTTAGTCCACCTCCACCGCCGCTGGCGTCGTTGGCGCCGCCGCCGCCACCTCCTCCGATCCTACGTACCCTCCTCCACCGGCGACGCCTCCTTCGAGTCTCCGCTATACGACTTCGATTCCACAGCCGATGGCTTCTGCATGTACGGCCTAGACGAGTCCGTTATCAAGACCATTCCTCTATCGGTCTACACCAGAAAAAGCAACGTTTACGAGTGCGCTGTTTGTCTTATTGAGTTCGAAGAGAACGATTACGTTCGCACTCTTCCGGTTTGTGCTCACGCGTTTCACGTTGATTGTATTGACATATGGTTAAGATCACACGCCAATTGTCCTCTGTGTCGCGCCGGAATATTCCGACCGGAATCTCCATTCATTCCGGTCATGGCCGCCAGAATACGGCCGAGTCTCGACGACGTGATCATCGAGGGAACCATGCTCGGACCGTTGACTGAAGTTCCGCCGGAATCTGACACTGCAGCAGACGGAGATGAGATTGTGCCGGAACCGATGAATCCGTCGGAGGATCGTTTCAACGGCGGGACTGAATTCTTGCTGAAGCGATCGTACTCGTTCGGATTCGAACGAAATTTGGGATCGGAGAGGTTGATGATGGAGCCGGCGACGGCGTCGCCGTGGAGGTACCGGCGGGGAGGAGGCTTCTGGAGCAAGAGGCCATCGCCGTTCAGTTCGTTGATGAAACCTAGGGTTTTCTCGTTCAGATACTACAGGGGGATGAACATGAAGTCTCCTTTTTTCCGGAGGCGGGGATCAGGAGGCGGAGGAGGAGGAGGATTGTTTCCGTTGTCGGAGAGGTTCGCCGGCAATGGCGGAGGAGGATCGTCAAGGCGGACCAAGTCGTTGACGAGCCCGATGTTCATGAGATCTTCCGGGGGATTGTTCTCGTCCAGTCGACTGAGGAGTGGAGATCCGGAGGCATTGCTGTCACCAGAGAGATTCAACAGAAGGTAGACGATGGTACGATCATCGGAAAAAGGCTTACCGGAGTGGAGTGGAGTGAGTTGGTGGTTGTAGCGGTGGTGGGAATGGGGTCAGATGCTTTAATGGAGGGTCGCATGGGTAAATTAATGAATTGCACTGCCATTTGTAGGCGGTCATTAAATGGGTGGTGGGAGGGCATTTAATGAAAAATTGACGAGAGCGTGGGATCTTTTATTCTCTCTCTCTCCCTCTTTTTCTCTCTCTATAAGATCAGTATACTTGTATCGATACATATATCTATATTTTATATACATGTATATATAGCGGTGGTTTTCGTTTAGCCCCTCTGTGGTTTTGTAGACTTATAGTCACCCACAAGAGTTTGAAACAGCTGAGGCAGGCAACTCGTTTATTTTTTTTTAAAAGTTACAGGCAATTCATTGTTGGCACATTGACATGTACCCTCTTCTTCTGTTTTTTTATTTTTATTTTTATTTTTTTCATTGAACTTTGCATGGTACATCTAATTTTTTTTTAAAATTTTTTTTACAAAATAAAACAAATTTACCTTTGCAAATAAGAAAAAAAATATTAATTGTTTGTTTCAAACTTTCAATTAGTTACCAAATCGGCAATGGCGGTGTAGCTTAGTGGTATTTATTGCATCCTAAATTAGAAAATTAAGGGTATAAGTCTTTAAAAGAATAAGTGGGTGTGTGGGTGTATTTCTTGTCACACTAAACATAGTACTTATTGATTACTTCATGTTTTGTATTAGATTTTTTTTCTTCTTTTTTTTTTTTAAAGAATTTGGTGAACTGCATAGCAAAATTGAGTTGTTTAAGAAGTACCCTTATATCGTTTTATTGAAAAGGGTGGTGGTTATGTGTTAGAGGTTTGTCTTATATTCGATTCAGATGGGATAGTGATTGAATATGTATGGATGAAGTATTAGTTCTACCTAATAGTTTAAGTTTTTAAATTAGACCGCGAAGCACCCATTCGTTACAGTTCGAATTAGACCTGGTTTTTAATTTTGTATCACGCCAAGTGCTCCCGCATGGATGCCGGGTCTCTCACTCGGGTAGGCAGAATGATCCGAGTCGCAACAAAGGTGTTGTAAGTTTGGGTATGAGAAAATATTAGAGATTTGTCTCACGAATCCGAATAATAATTTTAATCTTTGAATATGACCAACTGGATGTTAGTTTGCCTAATAATTTTAATCTTTTTGCCATGAAACACCCATCCATTATAATAAAATAGAAGTTACGAACTCACACTACTATTAGTATTTTTAGTTTGCCTAATAATTTTAATCTTTTTGCCATGAAACACCCATCCATTATATTAAGATAGAAGTTACGAACTCACATTACTATTAGTATTTTTAGTAAGGCACATTATTTTGACTATATAGTGTGAAGCCAATTTAAATTAGCATTTTTAGTAAGGCACATTATTTTGACTATATAGTGTGAACCGTGAAGCTAATTTAAGAGTGTGTCCGAACTTTGACCTTATAATCATTCTTTATTGAGGATGCGAAAGTCCCATTGGCCAGTTATTAACCAATTAAAAGTGGTGGTCCCATTGGCCGGTTATTAACCAATTAAAAGTGGTGGTGTAGACAGTTCATGCTTTAATGTCATCATAGAAGATAAGTATGATCCAGACTTTCATGCCAATGAGACTAATTTATAAGAAAAGTAATTGCTAGTAACTTTCAAAAACTACCTCTATTTTTTTTTTTGTTAAATACGTCCTCTTTACTAACATATTTGTTCTTCACATATTTTCGATTTAGGCAATATTTGTACTTTACTTTACAAATAAATGATGATGATTTTTTAATTAACACAATTATCTTTTTAAATTTTCTTTCTGTCTTTTAATGTTTTAGGTTTCTTTCTAAAATATTAATAAATAAATAAAAATTATTTCTATTGAGTAAATTATTATTTTTTATTTTTTGAATAAATTGACTCTTTTGCTTGGACCAAACAAAAAAAATATTAAAAATACACATAAAAAAATATTTTCTCTTTTGATAGGAACGAAAAAAGGAACCCTAAAATATATATTTATTAAACAAATTATATCCTTTGTTAAGATCTAAGATCTAGGGAGTACGAAAAAAAAAAGAGGATCCAAAAACATAATAATTTATTGGGTAAAGTGCAAAAAAACCTCCTTAACTATGAGAGTTTTGCAACTAACCCCCCGTAACTACAAGAAACCTATTTGAACTTTCAATTTGCTACAATTTGCCCACTCAGGCCATCGGAAAAGAAAAAAATGACGATGTTGCCCTTCCTATAAAAGGACACAGTTCCCTTTAAACTCAATTTCACTTTAACTAGGCAAACATAAAAGATAACAACAAAACCCGAACAGCTCTGTATACACACACACACATATATATATATGCACCATTCATCTTCATCATCTCCCTCTCTGTGTTTTGAAATTCAAGAAATCAAAGCGTTGCATGAATCACTCGAATCGGTGGAGACTCATCTGAGCCGACTCGGTCAACTCATCACCCAGTCACATATTTGTCTACAAAACCTTAACCCATTTTTTACAAAATCCTAAAATTGAATCATTGTATATACCGGTAGCGGCAATGAAGAAGGTCAACAGACATCGGGATGGATGGGGTTTAACAACAAAATATGTATGTGTGTTTGTGTGTATATGTTGACGCTAAAATCAGTTGGCTAAAGCCGATCTTAAATTGATGTAGTACGGGCGTACCAGAACCACTTGTATGGTTCGATTGTAAATAGTCAACGCTAGTCTCTTTATGAAGGTTAACTTTCAGACGATGCAAGGATAAAGAGAAGAATAACACTCCTCTTAGAGTTCAATAACTGCCTTAATTAAAAGGACTTTTAGTTGAATAATTATAGTAATGTTAAGATAATAGAAAAAGGGAGAGACAAATATAGAAAGAAATAGAGAAAATAGAGATTGAGAGAGAGAAGGAGAGAAATAGATAGAGCGAGAGATTGAGATAGAGAAATAGAGAAAATAGCAAGGATGTTATTCTAAGAAAGGATTGAGAAAGCAAACAAACCATTTAAAGGATTATGAGGGTGCTGGACCTCTAGTACAGCATGCCTCCTTGTTTATTTATAGAAAAATATGTAAACCAACTTCATAAATACAAGCATTCTAATTATACTATAACTCTATACTTCAACTGAAAAATAAATTCAAACTAAACATTCCTAGATACACACTAATTCAAAAATCAAATAAAAACCAAGTAAACACATAAATCTTATCCAACATAAAGTTCAAAAATATTTCATTTGATCAGTAATGCCCTTGTGCGATCCAATCAGTTACGCCCTTGTGTAAAATCTGCCACGCCTTTGCTTCTTCTCTTGTAGTCTACTTCCATGTTCTTGGCCCACTTAAACCATATACCGAACCCAACCTTTTTCAGCCCAATCTCTTGCCATATCATTGCATTATAGCTATCCTAATCATTATCTAAGTCCATTGTTTAGTCCAAGTAGACTTAAAATATCTTATAGCCCAACCTCATTTTTGCATATCACTATTTATTAAGCCCAATTAGAGCCCAAAACCAATTACCAAAATGGGTGTCAACAATGCCCCCCAATTTTGGTAGCCGTTTTAACACTTCGGCTTCCAAAATTCAAAACAACACCCATTTTGCTGTAAACCCGCTTATATCATATAATCTCTTAAATATCATGATGGTTGCAATTTCCAAAAAATGCCGATTCCACTAATCTATCATTTTAACCTGTAAGCTCCTCCATGTAAAACTTGGTAAACCACAAACGGTCCCTTCCATGCAGGTGACCACTTGCCATAAGTTCTGTTTACTTTTCCAGGTGGAAGAATTGTTTGCCAAACCATATCACCCTCTGCAAATGACTTAAACTTCACCCTTTTTGTTGTAAGCCTTCATTACTTTTGCTTTATGGACCATAAGGTGGTCTAAAGCACGTTTTTGAACCTCATCCAAATCTTCCAACTCGGCAAGCATAGCTTCATTGTAATCGGCAGGTATCAGATTGTGTTGTAGAGCTACCCTTGCCGATTTCACATTTAACTCCATCAGCAACATAGCATTATGGCCAAATGTTAGCCGATAAGGAGTTGTTCCTGTACTTGTCCTTTTCGAATTTCTATAAGCCCACAAGGCTTCTGAAAGTGTTTCATGCCAACGTCTCAGCTTGTCCTTTATCATTTTTTCAATAATTTCAATCATAACTTTATTTGAAGCCTTAGCTTGGCCATTCCCTTGAGCATAATAGGGTGTTGAAGTTACCATTTGTACTTGCATATTGCGACTGAGTTTTAATACTTCATTTGCTCGAAACACAGATACATTATCGGTAACAATTGTTTCTGGTAAACCAAATCGGTGAAAGATGTGTCGCTCCAAAAACTGTATAACAATATTATGAGTTACCGATACGTATTCCTCAACTTCTACTCATTTGGTAAAGTTATCGGTAGCTAAAATAATCCAATGATGACCCCTTTGATGAAGGAGGATTGATCTTGCCGATTAAGTCCATGACCCAACCTCTGAAAGGCTATGGCTTAACTAATAACTGCATCTCTATAGCTGGAACTCATTGCATTGGGCCATGCTTTTGACAATCCGTATAACCCTTGGCATAAGTCATGCAATCTTTTCTCATTCCAGGCCAATAATATCCATATCGGCGTATCAACCATCTCATTTTTATGCCAGCTTGGTGAGCTCTACACATTCCTTCATGTACCTCGGGCATAATCTTTAAACCTTCAAACTTGCTAATACATTGAAATAACAAACCATCATCAACCGATCTCTTATAAAGATCTCCATCCATAAGTACATAATCGATTGCATTTCTTTTTATTTTTCGATTGGCTTCTGGAGTTGGATGTTGTAAGAACAAAATATAAGGAATCCGCCAATCATCATCATCTAACTCGGCAACATCGGGAGCAAAGACTTCCTCCATAATTTGATTTCTTGTTTCAGCCGATGGAAGATATCGGCGTGTGATTTTCATTATCCTTTCCTTCATACCACTCGGCACCCTAATTCCTGAAGCAGTCTGTGCTAAATCATTAGCTATTTTATTCATGACCCTTGGTCTGTATTCCAAAGTCACAATGTGAAATTGGTTGGCCAATTAGGTTGCCAATGAATAAAATGGCCTTAATTGCCAATTCAAACATCTAAAATCTTCTGAGATTTGATCAATCACTAAACTTAAATCCCCCACAATGTGTACATCTTTGACAGCCATCTCCTATAGAATTTCCAAATCGATAATCAATGCTTCATACTCGGCTCAATTATTTAAGCACCTGAAATCCTAAAAGAAGGAAAATGAAATTTGGTTCCCGGATGGGGATATTATTGTTATACTAGCTCTTGAACCTTCACTGGTACTCGACCCATCGAACATTAAAG